TAAGAGTGAAGATTCTTAAATCTTAAACTCACCTTCATTGAAGGTGGATAAACATATAGAACCCCATAAAAACGATGTATAATTCCTAAGTTACCAAGTGAGAATGGAAGTGGGGGGAGGCAATATACTTTATCTTTGCATTTGAAGTGGTTGTTTCTTACAGTAAACATCTGCAAAAATTGCCAAGGAAAGTAAAAGAATAAATTGGCAAATTCAGCTCATCATGTTTCAAAATTTTGGGGAAGATAATGGGTAATGAAATTTTTGATATGACTTAATACACTCTTTAGTTTTAAAATGAAAGTCATCATAATTTTGTGGGCTTTTTTTGATTTGGACAAAAAGAAAGAGTTTTTGTCCAAATATGGTTAATGAAATATTTTTATATACAAAGTACTAATTAGAATGCTAATCAATTAGTAAACTAGTTATTGCAATCACATAGTTTTAAAGGTAGTGAAGTGATAGGAAGTAGCAGAAACTTTGCCTTTTTGCCCTTTGCTTTCTACACTAACTATAGATTTATGGTACAGAGCAACACGAATTTAAATGCCTGATTTAAAATGCCTTTAGAACAAAGAGGGAAAATATAACAACAAAATTGAGGAAGTCTTTGGGTCAGCATCCTAACAGGTGCTGAGCTGAAGCAGAACATCAGAGGGTGTCACTGACAAGTTCTAGCACTCAATACCAGCCTCTGAATAGCTTTAGCAATTCAGGGCCTGGCTGGCCTTGTCTCTCTTATTTGAAACTCCCAAATCAAGAAATTTTGACATCTTTTTTCCAGCTTTCCTCTTACAATCCTATGATGAGGCACAGTAAGTCTGTGTCTATTCTTATGGAGTTACAAAAACAAGTAAACAATAAAGATGTTATTAATTTTAGCTCTGTTTAAGAAAAATAAAAAGCAAAGGAAAACCTAGTTTTCTTGGCTTTTTTTTTGGTTTTGTTTTTTTGAAAACCTATTTAGTCTGCTTATATTTTCAAGAATTTAAAATTCAGATCTCTGTATCTAAGTGTGATCCAGGTTTCTTTAGGTACACATAATTACCATTTTAAATCTGGTTAATAACATCTTTCAAATTTGCTAAAAAACATACACATACACACACATACACATACATACACATACACACACACACTCGCTTTCATATACATGTGCTAGTGGTGAGAATGGAAGGTATTCATGGGGAAATTCTAGGTGAATTTAAATGAATAAAAACAGCTAGTAAAATCATTATGCTTCTAAAGATAGAATTTAATAATAGTC